AGGAGTTGGATGTCCTCGTGAGTAGCACTGGAAAGAAAAGAAAAGAAAAGGAAAGGAAAGGAAAGGAAAGGAAAGGAAAGGAAAGGAAATAATACAAAACCATTATATAGGGTGAAACAATACACTTAAAAAAAACGCGAGTCAACTCGTGGGGGATCATAAAATATGAGAAAACACAACGTTTGGACTTTAGAAACAAAGAGTGTAAAAAAGTAGGCAATCTTTAATTTACTAATTCCTCTACCCAGAATATTATATGCCGACTCAAAAAGAACCTTGTGATACTTTCGAAAAACATACAAATAGCACAGAACGTAGCCAAAGTTCTACTTACAATACACATCTAGGTAGTAACTCGTTTCTGCTTTGTTACATTCCTCTCCGTTGCTCACTGTCAGATTATAAGTACCGGTATCACTCCTGTTGACTGGTTCAAATGTGACAGTGTTGTCATGCCACACTTGCCGTCCATTAGTCCATGTTATGTTTAACGGCTCACTACCAGAGATATCACACCTCAGAGTTACATTTCTTCCTTCAACTGCTGAAGCATATCCCTTTTCGCCTTCGTATATCGCACAGTTACTGATTTTCGGTGGTTCTGCAAGGAAATAAATTCAAAGAATATATTATTAGAATACGAAATGAAAACGACCTAGAGTACAATTCGTAATTCCTGTAATTGCAAGAACCTTCAGGCGAGAACAATTTAAGAACTTTTAAAACATTACGAGAACCTTTTTGATCACGAATTGTAGAAGGTCGTGCAAATATTATTTATAGTACGCTCAACGAAATATTCGAAGCGAAGGTATATATTTATCTGTCTCTTTGCCCAATTTTCATCAATAAACCTAATTAAGGACTATAAAAATGCATAAAAAAGATTACTTGTAAAGGTTTTAGTATTATATAAATGTTTGTAGGTTAAAAACAGAGATATAGAATTCCTATTAGTATAGGAAATCGCACGATCTCGAGTAAAGGCTCGTGCAATTAAAGAACTTTCAAAACATTACTCGTGTCTATTAATTTCCAAATTGTACGAGAAGATCGTGCGATTTTTTGTTTATACTTCACTCAACAAAATTTCAGTAAAAAATGCGAAGCGACACCGTTCATCTTTGTCTATTTGGCGGCCGATTTTCAGTCCATCGCGCAACTGAAATGCATAAAAAAGATTAGTTCTTACGGCTTTAAAATTTTATTTATGTGTTTTTTAAGTACAAAATGATAGAAAATAATTGTTTTGACATTGTTTTGGCCGTGTTGCCATAGCGACTYAATTCGGTRCTCCTACGGAGTACAATTAACGCTATAATTGTACTCCTCTCGACCAATCGGAGTCGAGTAATTTTGTTGAGTGTACTATAATGCGATTTATATAATTTTACCGAGTAAAATTAACGATTAATTGTACTTCTCTTAATCAATCGTCTCTATTGTCGTATTGGCTCAGGTCAAGCTTCGAACTTCACATGAGCCGAACCCAATTGAAACAATAATTAACAAGGCAGATTTTCTTTGATGTAATAAGCATCGACGTATGTGAAGTTCGACGTTTGATCTGAGTCWAAGTGCACCGAGTAATATTTTATCATACAAACCTTTAACGTTGATTGGAGTTAAACTTTTGCTTTCCCCGACTCCAATCTTGTTTTTAGGTTCACACCTAAACCTGTTTGTCCCTGTTTTGTCTAGCATCACTTTGAATAAACCAGTATTGTTTCCCTGAACCAACTCCTCGTTTTGATACAAAGAGTACTTTTTAACGGGAGGGTTTGCATTCGATGTACAAGTAATAGTTATGAGACTCCCAAGACAAAATGTTGTCTTATTTGGAGAATGGCTGATGTCTGTGTTATATGGTTTGTCTAAAAAAAAAAAATAAAATTGCCATGGCAAAAAAAAAAAAAAAAAAATTGCCAAAAAAAAAATCTATGAATAACAGTTATTGTACAGATTGCAATAAATTGTAAACCATTGAGATCCAATACTATATATTTGTTTTATACATGTTATGTATTATTTAACAGCCTTTGAACAATATTTACTTTTTGAGTAAATAAACTCTGTATCCTAACACCCAACAATTCAAATTATGGATTTTTGAAATAAAAGAATCCGCAATTTGTTTAAAAGAATCAGTGTACTAAAATATTACTTTTTCAAATTCTTAATCTTTGTACTCGTTAATAAAAGTAATGTTTTCAATTTCTTTCAATAAACTTTGAAACTGAAAGTATTTTTGTGTAAACAAAAGCGAAATTGAAAAACAGAATTGCAAGGCCCTTCAAATCTTAAGTAATTTTCTGGTAAAATGTTTGAAGGATGTTAATTAAATTAGGAGGGATATAAGGTTAGTGATGTTAGGAATTTTAGGAATTCTAGTTAAGATCATAAAGATTATTTTAAAAGCCAAGCCCAGCTGATAAATATGAAGGGAAATGTCATCTCAAAAACACTAGTAAAATCTGTCATTAAGTTTAGGCTTGTTTTGGGTTTTTAAAAATAATATAGAGTCGCGATGTCGAAGCCCAAGGTAGAAAGATTAAGTGGCAGATATTTTATGAAATATTTAGGGTTCAATAGTTATCTTACCGTCTCTGATCGATAACTGAGCTTTGAAATACTGAGCTCCAAACTGGATGATGTCTTGTGGTTGTTCACGAAGAACCTCGCGCGCAAAACCCTCTAAAATGTTCTGAAAACCAGGCGGAACTCGGAGTTTTGTCGGCGCATATTGAACAGCCATGTTGTTGCTGGATTTATGGATGGAATTGAGTGGATTTTGCTGAGGTTTTGTTGGTTTAGATCATTCGAAAAGACGGAGTTGTGTGAAGACAGCCAACAAACATGGCGCTCGAGGTCAGCTTATTGTGTTGCTAGGCGACGGAAGGAAACTTATAGAGGAAACCGCTGGGATGATGACTGTGGGAGCATAATCGCTCCAGGCTTCTAACGACTTCTGCGCAAAAATAGAGCTTTGACGTATTTCCGGGTCCAACTACTCACTTAAAAACCTAAAATAAAGCAAGCAATATTCTCAATTATTTAAAGTATGGTCCTAAAATTCTCCAATTGAAAACTAATCATGTTTCCATAGATGATCTAAATTCGGTGTAAAGTTTTCAGTAGCAAATTTGTGCACTTTGTTACCGCAGTCTTTCAGTTTGCTCCAAAAGTATTTTAATGCGCAGCTTCTACTACCCTCTCCTAGACAGACGTTTTTAGTAATCATGGAGCAAAACACTTAGTAGTATCGACATGAAATTGAAATAAAAAACAACTACGATTTATTTGATTTTATAACAAATTTATTTCTCTAAATCTGCTCTAAATTCGTAAATAATTAGATTTACAAAATAAATTTTTGTGACAAATAGATGTAGCTAGTTAAACAATGCTGTTTACCTAATATGCTGAACTCAACTTAATGATAATTTAGTTTAAAAGAAAATCAAAATATATGCAAAACTAGCATTGATTCTTGTCTACAAAATGTGAAATATTTTAACACACCGTTTCGGACTCAAAAAGAGCCGCATTAATATTTCTGTGCTATTCTTTTAACATTTATAATAAAGTCTTTTAATCTACTTCCTCGACAGTCGGTCCTCCCGCGCTGTTGTTGGTGCTTTGTTGTCCTTGCCCATGTAGTTTGGCCATGATGGGAGAACAGATTCTCTGGAGCTCTTTTTCTTTGTGTTCGAATTCTTCTTTCTCTGCCAGAGTATTGCTATCGAGCCAACTGAACACCTCTTTGACTTTACTTGAACATTTTCACGATCCTCAGAGGACAACTTGCTGGACACAGCCGGGTCCTCTACTGATTGTTTCACGTGATAGACGTAATTCTCCAAGCTGTTTCTGTTAGATTTGCATTGATTGACATGTAATTATATATGACGATCGTACATAATAAAACACAAATACACCAAAGTTTCTTGCCTGTACTCTTTTTCTCTGAGCATCGTCTTCACTTTTGTATTTCTCAGCTTCATGGACCATTCTTTCGATCTCTTCATTTGACAAACGTCCTTTGTCGTTCTTGATGGTGATGGAACTCGATTTACCTGTGCTCTTGTCTTTAGCAGACACGTTCAGGATGCCGTTAGCATCGATGTCGAAGGTGACTTCAATCTGCGGCACGCCCCGAGGAGCAGGAGGAATTCCATCCAGTTCGAATCTTCCAAGAAGATTATTGTGTTTGGTCATGGCTCTTTCTCCTTCGTACACTTGGATGGAAACTCCTGGTTGGTTGTCTGAGTACGTTGTGAACGTTTGAGATGTCTTGGTGGGGATGCGTGTGTTTCTCTCGATTAACTTGGTCATCACTTCTCCAGCTGTTTCGATTCCAAGAGAAAGAGGAGTGACATCAACCAAAAGTACATCCTTCACTTCAGAGCTCTGATCACCAGACAGGATAGCTGCTTGTATGGCTGCACCGTATGCTACCGCCTCGTCTGGGTTGATGGATTTGTTCAGACTTTTACCGTTGAAGAATTCTTGCAATAACTTCTGGATCTTGGGAATACGTAGTCTGGACCCTCCAACAAGCACCACCTCGTCAATGTCTTTCTTTCCAAGCTTGGCATCGCGGAGAGCTTTTTCTACTGGTTCAAGATACGAACGGAAAAGGTCTGAACAGAGCTCTTCGAATTTTGCGCGGCTGATTCTCGAGTAGAAGTCTATTCCTTCGTAGAGTGAATCAATCTCGATGTTGGCCTCGCTGCTTGACGACAGAGTTCTCTTGGCTCGTTCACATTCTGTTTTTAATCTTCGCATCGATCTTTGGTTGCACTTGATGTCTTTTTTGTACTTTCTCTGAAACTCTTTCACAAAATGTTCAACCATTCTGTTGTCAAAGTCCTCGCCTCCAAGATGCGTGTTGCCGGCTGTCGACTTGACTTCRAACAGCGACCCTTCATCGATGCAYAGAATAGACACATCAAMAGTCCCTCCACCAAGATCAAAAATCAGCACATTTTGTTCTCCTTTGAGTTTCTTGTCCAGTCCATAAGCCAAAGCAGCAGCCGTCGGTTCGTTGACGATTCTCATCACGTTCAGTCCAGCAATGA